TGCCTTTTACTTGAAGAAAAACTAGAACCACCTACTCATAGAGTGGCCCCGTCAACAGCTGAAAATATCAACATCGTCAGGGAGACGCATCCAATTTTTGTTCATCAATCGGCAGCTGGCTTGACGGAAGTAAAATCTTTTTTGACAACTGGTCTTGAAGAACCAGCCTTGAGCAGCACATGGGATGGTAACACTAATCACATTAGAGTTAGCAATTCTAGTTTAGCTGCTACATCTACTATTACTTCTGCTTGTAATATGGTGCCCATGCATCACAATCTCTATACGCTTACGCTTAATTAATGCAACTTATCTTTCCCGTAGACACTTAAATTTCAGCAGATCAAGATAAATCCTAAATTCAAGACGACTCTTGAAATATTATGTGTCTATTATGGTTACTTGGTGCAGGTTAATTCACCCAAACCCTAATTTATGCCTATAAATAAGGCTACATATATCCTTCAAGACGATCTTAGCAGTTCCATAAATTCTCGAAATATACACAAATAGATCAAATATACGATCTCCGAAATTTCATAAAACTCTTGGAATATTCATTAAGTGATCAAAGACATGTCAAATATGTATTGCTCAACTTTCTAGCAACATCCAAGATCTAAGCGGAGTGCTACTACATGCTTCTTGATCATCAAATACATCAAGGAGATGCATATCATTCTACGTTCGAGAAATACACTCCTAAGGCTCTCGAATTATGGATAATAAATCGGAGGAAAGAATTAAGGGATAAACAGAGTTGTAATCCCAAATATTTATCAAAAAATTCTTTTTTTCTTTATAGTTATTTGTGATTGCAGTATTATTTTACTGCACAAATTTATTGCAAACAAATTGGCACGCCTAGTGGAACAAGTTTTGCCTTCATCTCTTCCTCCTGCAAATCAAAAATTGCAAGTTTTAAGATTATCTGTTATGATGGTCGGGTACTTCAAGTCTCGTCTTCTAGTTTTAGCAAGCTTACACCTCGACAAACCTTGAAGTATGGGCATTTGTAGATACTGAAATTTCAGCAGATCAAGATAAATCCTAAATTCAAGACGACTTTTGAAATATTAGGAGTTTATTAGGGCTACTTGGTGGCTAGTCCACCCAAACCCTAATTTATGCCTATAAATAAGGCTACATATATCCTTCAAAGACGATCTTAGCAGTTCCATAAATTCTCAAAATATGCACAAATAGATCAAATATACGATCTCCGAAATTTCATAAAACTCTTGGAATATTCATTAAGAGATCAAAGACATGTCAAATATGTATTGCTCAACTTTCTAGCAACATCCAAGATCTAAGCGGAGTGCTGCTTCATGCTTCTTGATCATCAAATACATCAAGGAGATGCATATCATTCTACGTTTGTGAGATTCTACGTTCGAGAAATACGCTGCTAAGGCTCGCGAATTATGGATAATAAATCGGAGGGAAGAATTAAGGGATAAACAGAGTTGTAATCCCCAATGTTTATCAATTTTTTTTTCTTTATAGTTGTTTGTGATTGCAGTTTTATTTTAATGCACAAATTTATTACAAACATTTCCAACCAAAAAAAAAAAAAAGACTCCAACGTTACCAATTATACGTTCTTAAGGTTGAGATGGGATTTGAAGGAGATTGTAACCTTTTTTACATGAAATTAAATTATACCATCAACATTATTGACTAAAAAATAAATAATTCACGAGTCATCATAAGTATGGAAAAAATGTAAGTTTACTGGATTATAAATGTTCTTTGTGAAAATGTACATTTAGGTTCTTTATAGTTTGTGCAGAATATTTTGAATAGATGTCAAAAATAAAGATTTTCTTAAAGCAATACCATTGTTGTTTCTAGATAGTGGACAACTTTTCAAATCAAATGGTGTAACTAGTTTTTTCTAGCGGAGCCGCCTTATAATAAGGCATGTCAGTTGATACTATTTGCTCAGAAAATTATAGTACTATTTAGCTAGGTCAAAAATATGCATTGACTTCCTTTTTTTTGTGTTTACTATTTTATACGTTTAAGACTAAGAGCCCGTTTCGTCATGATTTTTTTTAAAATATTTTTATTTCTTTAGGAAATTAGTGTTTGACCATAAAATTTTTATTTTCACTTGAAGAAGGATTTTGGAACTTTTTAAAATTTTAAAAACTCCAAAAAACTATTTTTAAATTTTTTTACTCAGATCACCCACAAAAGTGCAAAAATAACCCAAAATTATATTCATATCCAAACACAACTTTAATTTTCAAATACTATTTTTACTTACAAAAAATTTCACTTTTTTTCTCGAAATTTTATAATTCTTATGTCCAAACGCCAACTAAAATTCTTAGGGGTCGTTTTGGTAGGGCGTATAAGAATAATGCTAAATAAGGTGCATTAGTAATGCAGGGGTTAGTAATGCATGAGTTAGTAATGCAAGCAATAGTTATACAGAGATTATTTTTATGATATTTGGTGTGGTGTATTAAAAATTAAAATGCATTGCATAATTTTTAAGAAATTTAATTGTTTACAAAAATGCCCTCCATATTCTTTAACTTAAGGGACTTTAAGGATAATTTTGTCTTTAATCATGCTAATGCATGCATTAATAGCCTTTGTATAGCTAATGTCATGGTTTTCTATACATTAGTTATACATTGGATAATACCAAATAGAGTGTATAACTAATAGCTTGTATTAGTTATACATATATTAAAAAAGTATACCAAACAAAATATTACTAATACACAAAATTAATGCATGCATTATTTTCTTTTAACACGCTCTGTCAAAGACCTCTTAGTTTCACCTTGTGCCAATGAGGGGGCATAAATGTAACGAAATTACCAAACCCTAAATGAGGTAACGTTGAATGGAGCTCCACAAATAGAGTCTCAGCTAAAGCGCGAAAGCCACGTGGATAGAGACATTGTTGCTGACGTGTACATTTAATCATAGCCTCCCTATTTATACTCTTCATTCTCATCCATTTCCAGGCAGTGCCCCCACTCTTCTCACGCTTTTCTTTGTCAAATCTCAATCTAAATCCAAAAACCCATACATACAACAGGATATACACATCTTTTCTACTTTTCACTGTTTTTCGCTTGGATTTCATTGATCTAGCGTTTCAACAGCACGATGGAGTGTGCTTGTATGACTATTTGAGGATCGGATTCTGGATTGGTTCTCGATTTTCTATCCTCTCTTGGCTCGAGATCCGAGCCAAGAACAGAGGAATTCGTTCGTTACTCTGAGCTTCCGGCTAGCTGATTAGCTAATCGAATCGGTCGCGCTCTTCACTGTAGCCACTTGCAGTGCGGAGAGGTAAAAACCTGGACATATATAGAATATGGAATGTATTCTGCGATTTTCTTAACATTTGAATCGGAGAGTTGATTGTTTGATGTGTGCAGGATTTGTGAAATGGCGTCGGGTGAGGGATTTCTGACTGAAGAACAGAGGGAGATGTTGAATGTTGCACCGCCGAATGTGGAGGTTTTGTCATCTTCACCCAAGTCTCCCACTCTGAAGTCTCCAGGTACTAAATCCTCGTCTGTTCTACTGTCGGAGCATCACGTGAAGGCACCAGGAGGTGGGAGGGCATCCGCAGCTGGAATTGCTGTGAGACATGTACGACGTACGCACTCAGGGAAACATATCCGTGTTAAGAAGGGTTAGTATTACTATTTGGCTGAATCATGGCGATATTTTACTTCTTCTCAAGTTTCTGTATTGAATTGTAGGCTCTGAATTATGACGGGCTATCTTTGAATTCCCAGTGAACTGATTACGTCCTGGTGCTTCTTACTGAGCTTAAGAGAAAAAGAAAGTTGTACTGTTTAACTGACTAAAATTTAAATTGAATAATCGAAATAGAAATGCCATTGTAAATCCCTTTTGAAGGTAGGCATATGGAAAATTTGAACTTTTCTCCCGTTATTGTGGATTGATGTACTTTTTTGGGACTTAATTGTTCCTAGTTTTAAAACAATCACGCTTATAGTTTTTAAAAAAAAAGCTACAGTGCGGAGAACTGTACATAGTGCTACCCTTTTTTCCCCTGTTATGTGATACTCTAAGGGGTCGTTTGGTATGAGGTATAAGAAGGTATAAAGGTGGTATAAAAATTTAATACCACCTTAATATTCTGTTTAGTTAGCAAATCAAGTATAAGTTATCCCGGTGTTAATTTTAACACCGGGATAACTTACACCTTATAGAAAGTGGGGTAATTAGCACCGGTATATCTTATACTTCCTTCTTAGAAATTATGCAATTGTCATTCTTAATACAACATACCAAACAATGAATAAACCCAGAATAACTAATCCTAGCATAACTTATCCCAATATAATTTATACCGGCATAACTTATACCGGTATAAATCGTATTCCAACCAAACGACCCCTAAGAGTTCTTGGTCAGAGGTGAATTTTAGGATTTAAATTTGATGACTTCAACCTTGTAAGGTAGTTTACCACTCTGCCCTTGCATTTTGAAATTGTGGGTTCAACATTTTGATGTGTTGAAAGTTTAGTGATTTTTTTACAAATGCATTTTTCATTTCGTGTCAAAAAATGTTTAGTCCAGTTAAACTCATGCTCCCACTATGCGTACCCTGTAACACCAATGTTTTACTCCATACAATATCTATAATTTCAGAAAGGACTAATTGGATCAAGACCATGGTCTAGGTCAAATGAAGTGAAAAATTACTTGGGTGAGCAAGGTTCAAATCCAAACAGAGATAAAAAAAATAGTGGATATTTCTTCTTATCTGGTTAAGCTTGGTGGGCAGAGTTACCCCATGTCTATGCTGATGAGAGGTAGCATGTGCCCGTTGCCTTAGATCGAAGTATGACCAAGCTGGCCGAAACTCTACTTCTATTACTCACATTTTCCTAATTCGTGACATTCTTTCTAAACGTCTCAAATGTACTTTGAACACCAGCGAACACCACCATTGTTACTCACTCTAGTAATAATGTTCAATACGATTTTTCATGAGTTCCAAAGATTTCAATTCATTTGACAAGTCCTTTTTAGATCTGGAGGTGATGTATTCCTTATCTTGTTAAGTTTTCTGTTTAGTACTTCAAATTTTCTTTATTACTAATATAACGCACATATCAAGTTAATATCTTGTAAATGGGTGGAAAACTCGGGAGAGGGGCGATAGAGCTCTTTCATCTNGTAAAGGCACTTGGGGAAAACTGCTCGATACTGAAGGTGAATCTCATCTTGATAGAAATGATCCGAACTACGACAGTGGTGAGGTGCGTCTTGCAACTTTATTCAACTATACTTCTTAGGTGAAAAAAGTAACTTTAAATTTGTTATATCGCATGTTACATTATTCTCCATTGGAGTACTGAAATCATTTTTTGGCAATATTACATTGTACAATGGACCATAATGCCTCCCCTCAGGTTCTAAAACCTTGCAAACATTATGTATGCTATACAATATTGGATAAGAATGCAAAAGAAAAGGTAATTAGAAGAATGAGAGGGAATCATTGGTGAGAAAGAAATAATGTATACACTTTAGTCTTAAGTATCATGATTGTATAGAGAACGGCAGAAGTGAAGGTTCATAATGATAGTATATTTCAGTACAAAGTTATTTTTCTAAGTGCACCTAATGTATATCCAATGCAGCATGATTAATTTCTTGTTCTTTCTTTCCTGTCTATTTATATCTGTCTCCATAGCTACTGATTTGTTATGGCTCCCAGATACCTTTCTACTGATTCATAAAACAGTTGAGAATTGAGTCCTAAGACTCGGACACCTTTTCCACTGAGGAACCTACTTGATCCCTAAGCCAAGGCTCCCAATTGTTTCCTTGAAGTACATGTAGTCCACATTTTTTCTATTTGCCATACTTCAATCGAATTTTAATGGTAGTCTTTTGTTCTCTCTCAAAGAAAAAGTAGAGAGGACACAAAATACATATCCTAGTTAAAGAAAATTCTAATTTTCCATCAGGAAATTCCATCTTTTCTGAACCAATTGATTCATCTTCTAGTGATCTAGTCCGTTTTACCTGTAATTGCTAGATTGATCAGTGTATTAGAATACTGTCTCAGTAATATTTCATGAGGTTTTTATATTAATGCTATATTCCTCCTTTACTGTAAATGAACAGGAGCCATATGAGCTTGTAGGAACTGCTGTGTCTGATCCATTAGATGATTATAAGAAATCAGTAGTATCAATTATAGAGGAATACTTCAGCACTGGTGATGTGGAACAGGCTGCGTCTGATCTCAAGGAATTAGGTTCAACCGAGTACCACCCATATTTTATTAAGAGGCTTGTTTCTATGGCAATGGATAGGCATGACAAGGAGAAGGAAATGACTTCAGTTCTTCTTTCTGCTCTTTATGCTGATGTAATCAGCCCTACCCAGATCAGCCAGGGGTTTTACATGCTTCTGGAGTCTGCTGATGACTTGTCAGTGGACATACCAGATACTGTTA